GTGAATTATTACGTCCAAATTCATCCTCCTGAAAAAAAAATTCCTCCCTTTTTGATTTGGTGATCAGATTTAGTGTGATATTGCTTGCTGGATGGATAAGATTATAATATTACAATTTTGAAGATATCTTGTGTTTTTCCATATCACGCATGCCACAGTGGAATTTTTTTGTTCGTCTGTATCCCGAATACCGCATAAACAAAACACTCTGATAAAACGTAGTCAGGCACCAGACAGTTCCGTAACTTATAATGTACACGAGTTTTGAACGTGCAATTAATTAATTCAGTTAGAGGAGAGTAACTAGTTGAAATAAACGCATACTGCTTGACTGCGTGGGGACGAGGTCGGATTATGTGATCGTCAAATTCAAAGAGCATTCACTGTATCCCTGTATCGCGCCATAAGGCGAATACATTGGCACGGTATTTGGTATGTTCGAAGCATCTTCACCTTTGACTGATTATTTGAAAACAGATGAAGCAATAAATCGCCATTGAAAGGATCTTCGTGATTGTACAGTGATAGCGTGCTGGGAATGATCTTAACTTATTTATCGTGTATCTTATGTGATAAGGCGGCCGAGGTTCATCGATTTGCATGGGTATAGACCCTTTTTGCATGCATTGTTTCCCTGGATCCACTCTTTCTTATGCATTCTTTCGTGCATTTTATGGAATGTACTGAGATGTAAGTGAATGTTTAATTCCTACCATTGGGCCATCCATGCACTGTTATAGTTCAGCCGTCCCTCCCTGGCTGGATTAATCATTTGATTACTTGATGCTGTGATGTGGTCATCAGTGATGGTACCGTCTTCAAGACCGAGGGGCTCTGGGCTCGAGCACTCGTCTATATTGCAAAACAGGACACAAATGAAAACACAACAAAACATATTTAGGCTTCATGTATCGCCAAGAACTCTTGGTAAACGCAAATCAGCACACACCACAACATTTCTTATAAGACTCGGATATACTAGGTTTGGACTCGACAATGTCCAATTTCATATGGAAAAATTCATTTTAAAAAGTCTAAAAATGTATTTGAAAAAAAAAAATCAGTTGATGCATAATAATAAAGACGTCATTTCGAAATGTGCCAAACGTAGTACACACAAAGACCAGATACTAAATATATACATTGACAGTTGACGTCACGATGACGTCATCACGGGTCATTTGACGTCATCTTAAAGGTGCATTTTTAACTTACTAACTGAGGTGTGTTTCTTCGTTCCCGGGCAACTCTCCCGTATCTCTTGCATGACTTGCTTCATCCAGTCATCCGGATTGTCAGGATCAGGTTCTGGTGGGGGACCGAAGTAACACACCCTCGCCTTGGTCTCCACACCGACCACGAACACTTTGGAATAAAACCAATAACGATTTATATATTAGGAAGAAGGTTTTGGGGTACCGCATAGATAAATCCCTTTTGTGACGAAGTGTCAGCTCTCAAAATGGCCGGTGGTGATAATAGGGTCTGAATTTTTAACCATATTTATCTCAAATCGAAAAACGAAAAAAAAGTAGGCCCACATGTAGTTACCTGTGTGTTGAATTATGTGTGCTTACGCAATTGTCACTAACCTCAACCATCAAAGACACCTGTTTCATTTCAATCTAGTGCGACTTGACGTTTTTAACCAGCTGTTTAATTAAAACAAAATTCCTTGTGTTTCTGTTTTGCAGGACAGTACAGGTTTAGCGTGAAGTCAAACTTACCTATCATTGTTGATACCGTCAGAATCCAAGCTCCTGCTCCGTCCATTCTGAGGGATACAATGAACGACAATCCATACGGTTGACTGTATACCACTGGTATACAAACCAAACCAGCACGCCTCAGCAGGTACGTAGACCACCGTCATTGCCAACCAATCACGAACGAGCACGCGTCTTGCATGCATCCAAACCTTTGTGATTGGTAAGGGGTTTCTTTGAGGGAGAGGCTTTGCGTATGCTAGCCAAGTTGTGGTGGCATTTGCTAATTGCAGGTTGATTTATTATTACAACTCTTATTAAAAAACGATAACCTTGACCAATCGCGTAAATAACAAAAAAAATCAATATGACACTACGACTAGCAATTACTTATTTCCTGGTACAAATGCAAGCGTAAACAAAATATGGACAATGAATCGTTGAAAATTGTCTGAAGCGCAACGAGAACGGGGGAAGGTAAATATTAAAAACTCAATTGGGACTACGGGTTATTGGCGTCTTTGAAATGACGCGAAGCAGACGTAATGCTTTTGTTGGCCTATATTAATTTTTGCAAAATAACTGAACAAAACAACCTAAAACGCGGTCAAATCAATACAGAAAGCCACGACGAGAAATGGAGTGTAGTGAAGATATGGAAACGTTTAAAGCAGTGATTACGAAAACGAATTTCTGGCCAGAAACGAATTTCTGTTTGTAAAATCGCGTGAAATATGTACCAAAAAAAATATTACATCGCAAAGATTCTCACAAAGCAAAACGGTGTTGGCTTAACAGAGTTGTAATAAGTCTGAGTTTAAAATCCAAATTCATCAACATAACATCCATGAAACGTAGCAATATGACGATGATTGTTACAGGATTGCATTCAAATATTCGATGACATGGCCCTATAAATCGACAGTCTGTAATAGTCACAAAACAGCATAAGTCAAATGGTGCACTGAACTTGTTTGTTTGCTACGTGATAATTATTTCTCAAGATGATCAATATCCAGATGAATATTTTCCAGATCGCCAGGTCCTCATTCACCAAAATCGAATTAAAGTTAAAAGGCATCGATTTTGCTTTGAATTTGGTTGTCTTTATATTTTTGCAATTTAATCAAATGACCAAAGCACCAAACCAACATTCAAATTGATTTTGTACAACATTTACACGTAAACGTAAAAATATTTTCCAATGATCAACACTATTTTCTTTACCAATCATCTTTAAATTATAAACAGATTTGACTAAACCACACAATACATTACTTCTGTTCTTATTTCTGTAATTACAACTTTAACAACCTCCAATTTAAATAAAACCAAAAATAACCGTCCTCCACATACATGTGCGTGTGTTGGTAGAGCTAATTAGCTGTTTCGGCAAATCAGCTGAAACAGGTCTTGTTTTTGTTAAGATTTTTCTTTACTTTTCTTTTCTTTTGCAAAGCTGTTCCGAATTTGGAAACGCTTTTGTTGTTGTTAAGATTGTTCCCTTTTCTTTTGTCTGTTGTTGCACCTTTCCCAATAGGTTTTGTACACGTTTTCATTCTATAAGCCAAACCACATTGGGAGTTTTTTTTTCCGTACAACTTACTTTAAACTGTGCTTATAGTTATTAACCATTATGTATGTCGAACATTGACAGTCTGATAAGTACAGAACTATTAGACCGATTGATCTGACTTTGGAAGGTATATAGACAGGGAAGAGCTTTCTGGTTTAACACAGCGCTCCCTTAATTCAACGTAGCCTTCACCGACATCGTAGATGATAAAGAATCGATACGATACGGTGCAGCACCGCACGCAGTATATGCTTCTCACTTCAATAACCACAGGGACTGCAACAAAGTCTGGCCTAGATAGGAAAGCGTGATAGATTATGGATAACAATGAATCTATGAAAATAGTCTGCAGCCAGCAACTAGTCATCTATAATTGGCAGACATTAAAATCCTTCGATATTAAGACTCTACGTAGTCCTCGTTTATGGAATGACGCGAAGCCATGCAATTTTAAATTCTTTTCAACATCATAACATATCCTTCAACGGAATTCTCCATGTTCAGGATGCGACATGACGCAGTACTACACTGACTCATCACAACGTGTGCCTCTTCATGCAAAATCCATGAAATACCCATCAACAACCAAATGCAGTCTAGGCATAAAAAATAAGGCATTTCATTTTGTTCTTTACCACTGTGTCTAAGCTTTATTTTTATACTAAAATATAGGCTCATACATATTAGTTTGGAGTAATATTTCTACATCAATTCAACCGTACGGTTCAGTAAAGTAATACACGTATACATTCTATATTACACGACTATTACCTGATTAATACACGGCAGTTATATGAACGTATCAAAGTAACAGTTTTCCTCTGAAAGATAAAGATGTGCTCTGAAATAATGAACAGTTGACTAGTCAAGAAATTGCAGCGTTATAAATTTCTCTCGATTTTCTTAATCACTGATGTCGTAACTTTTCTAGTGTAATAAACTAATGCCGCAATTCGGATTCGCTCAGAAATAAACCAGGAATAACACCAAAAATATGTTACAAAATCATGTTATTATATAAATAAATGCTGTAAAAATAAAGTATAGAAACCTTAAATAATAGATATTTAAGAGCTTTATTCAGTAGTAAGTAAGCAACGCACAATCACATTACATCTTAAACGATTGTACTTATTACTCATAAGACTTGTGTTTCATGTACTAACAATAGTGGTGTAGTAACTTCCTAAAAGAAAAGAACTCTAAATGTCTTTTCATCATCAGTCCATATTCTGTCCAAATACATCACCAAAAATGACAATTTAAATGTAGTTCCAAAAGTCTAGTTACTACAAAAAACCAAGAATAAACTTAATGTTCAATAAACTGAATTATATTTTAAACTGAATTAAACAGTAAATTTCAAAAGTGAGAAACTGAAATTGATTAAAGACAAATTTCTTTATAGACTTTCACCTAAACCTATATATATATATATATATATTAACTTTACCATGCATATTCATTCCAGCTGAACAATTTAATAACTTTTTTCATGTATTTTTGTGGCTATTATTAACAAAATTAATTTGATATGACGCTGTTTAAAAAAACACCCCTACCGATTCAAACTATAGAGACAATATGGTTTGAAGTGAAATCATTAAATCGAATAGATCGAGTTTCCACTAGAGATTGCTTTGCAGGGTTTTTCAACCTAAATTGCAGTGACTTCATCCTAAATTGTCAAGATCCTTGTGTAAAATGCCAGATGTGAACTAATTAAGACGACAACCAAGCAACTCCAATCGCAAAGCAGCAGCAGTTTTCCACTCAGTGGGCTCGATGCGCACTACCGTCGCCACCACACTCTCATCAAACAGGTTAGTGACCGGGGTGTCACCATTAGCGTTGGTGTTACCTTTGAATACCTGACATGTAAACAATATATCCGGCTTAGTTTACTCTGTACCACATGAACATTTTTTATTCAAATATTGGGTGATGTTGCAAAGTTCGATCGTACTTATTAGTAAAAAAAATGGGCGTTCAACACGAATTGAAGTTGAGAGGGCAAATGACATGTTTCGTTATAAAAAAAATGGTTGTTTTATTTATCAGATTCACAATTGCCATAATATTTTTAATAGTAAACGTAGTGCTAATACATTACGTCCCTCGTATATTTCGTTTCCTTTCATTCTTTTTTTAGGGATATAAGATCTTGGAAAAAAAATAGCGTAAAAAACAATAAGCTTTCGAAAGAAAACTTACCAATGTAGGACAGCTTGGCATAAGTAAAATATCGTAAATCTGGATTTCAAATTCTTTCGAAAGCATAAAACGGTGATAATTTAAAACGGAGATAATTACGTATTTACCTTGATGTCTCCGTTTTCATCTGTCACGTATTCACGGTCAGATGAGAACTGCTTCTGATACGCCACCTTGTACTGCGTTACAAAGTAAGTGAACTTAGAGTAGCCTTGCGTGATGACACCACGCACCACTGTGCTGTCAATGAGGCCAACCTCGATCCAAGGAATTGTATCATCGTCCCTGTACAAAGAGAGAAAACACAGCGAGATGAATGAAATCACTGTGCTCAACAAACACACCCAGTCGTAAGTGGAGGAGTGGTCTAATTTCATCATCGACACAGTAGTAACCACTAGCGGAGAAAATTGCTTCATGAGATGGATTTCTTTCGTCAGGATGATGTAAGCTCAACATTTGCTTTTGCCCTTCACCGACGAATTTCGTAAACAGTAAAAACACTGTATACTCAGTGTTTATACAAGAATACGTGAGTGACGGGCAAAACCAAATGTTGAGATCTCGTAATACTTTTGTTACAACTGATAATGTAGTAACCAACGGATAACGTATCACCAACCGATAATGTATCACAAATTGACCAATATTGTATCACTAACCGATAATGTACCAAAAATTGACTGATAGTGTAGTAAAATTTGTATCCGATAATGTATCACGTGTCGACGGATAATGTAACTACAAATAACTGTATCCGATAATGTATCACCACGGAACGGATACTGTATCAACCGATTAAGTATCAAAAATCAATCGATAATGTTTGTTTATGTCCGAATATTCCGCCCCACTTTTTGACCGGGGAGGGGGGTCTGGGCTATTGGATCACCCCCACCCCCATTATTTCGTATTTAGAGGGGGAAAAAAAGCAGATTTTGAGGTATTTTTCAAACTTTCCAACCGACGAAATGTATTAAATAGTACTGAGAAAAGGAAAAAAAGTACAAAAAGTTTGAAATGCACTGATACATGTATCATGAACAGCGCCCCTCCCCCAGTGTCACGTGGTCTCCAGCAAGCCCCCCCCCCTCTCATTTTGTATTTCACGGCCAGGATTTTTTTTTTTTTAGCTATCCCCATCCCGAAGTCCCCGGCAAAGATTTACGCTACTGTTGCAGGGGCGGATCGGGGGGGGGGGGGGGTCATCAGCAAATAACAGTTGAAAATGTACACAGGTTTTTTCCTCCGGACACTTGGCCTCCGTAAAATCAAAAACTGGGGAAGGGGGTACCATATTTCAATATGGGGGCGCTGTTCAAATTCGACGATTAATAACACTGGATTACAGAATGGTGCTGCCTCCATCCGTATTTTGAACAGGCGGACATTATAACAGTATATTTTTTGGGGGTGTCACAGCAGAGGGGGGGGGGGGAGGGGTGCGCATTATTTTTTAAGGAATTTGTATGACATTTTTTGGGGGGACACAGGGGTTTGCCCCCCCCCCCCCCGGATCCGCGCCTTTGTTGGCCTCAAGGAAGCGGCAGGCTCGTAACGTGACGTTTGGACTCCAAACTGTGTGGGTTGAACAAACTGAACGTCACATGCGAACGGTGCCCCTCCCCCCCTTAAAAAAAAGCCGGGGCATTTGTACGTTACAGTAATATAGTGTACATGTTTATAGGATTTTATCAGCGCTCCCCATTGAAAATATGGCACGAGCCCCCCCCCCCCCTCCCCCACTAAATGAGCAGTAATGCTGTGATTGTGCCCTTTTCAAATATGTAAGAACAAAAATCGACTTGGGTCGACAAGGGAATCATGCAGCTTGATCGCATCTAGACTATCTTCCCTTAAAGGACGATTGCCGCCTTAATCCCAAAGAATTGTTAAACTTGTTACATTGTATCTTTTGTGACAGCTCAAGTTACACGATCATTTCAGATGGTAGTTTTGCTATACACATGCCTCGCCACTCGTATGTGTTCCTGGTTCATCCACTGCGTATTTTGAACGATGCAAAGTTATTGGGGGAGGGAATAGTCCGGGAGAGTGGGGAGACCATCGCAAGTTAAATTGAACATATGCGCGCGCCGACGTTGCCTGACGATCATGCGAAGACGCTGCGGCTAATAGCCTCGGCACATTCTGAAAGTGGTGAGGAACTTTGCGCGCGAACCAGTACAGTACAGTACGAACAAGGCCAAGTGTCCAGAGAAAAAAAACTTGTCCACATTTCGGCGCGGATGTGCGAGTGCCGTTACCCCCCCCCCCACATCAAAAAGCTGGATACGCCACTAGCCTAGGTCCACTTGGTAGTAGAGCGTCTCCAAACCAAAGCAACTCCCTACCTCCCAAATAAAAAAAAAATATCCTTAATGATAATCTTTCCCGAGTGGGGACTCATCATAGTAAAGGCACTTATTAGACTTTAATTAATTTGCAATATTTCCACCTTTAATTTTCCCAATACTGATACATTATCGGTTGATTTTTGATACATTATCGGTTGATACAGTATCCGTTCCGTGGTGATACATTATCGGATATAGTTATTTTGTAGTTACATTATCCGTCGACACGTGATACATTATCGGATACAAATTTTACTACACTATCAGTCATTTTTGGTACATTATCGGTTAGTGATACAATATCTGTCAATTTGTGATACATTATCGGTTGGTGATACGTTATCCGTTGGTTACTACATTATCATTTGTAACATACTTTTGATTTTGTGAATTATTACGTCCAAATTCTCCCTCCTGAAAAAAATCCTCCCTTTTCGATTTGGTAATCAGATCTAGGTCGATATTGCATGTTGGATGAATAAGATTATAACATTACAACTTTGAAGATATCTTGTGTTTTTCCATATCACGCATGTCACAGTGGATTTGTTTCCGTCTGTATCCCGAATACCGCATAAACAAAACACTCTGATAAAACGTAGTCAGGCACCAGACATTTCCGTAACTTATAATGTACACGAGTTTTGAACATGCCATTAATTAATCCAGTAAGAGGACAGAAGCTAATTGAAATGAACGCATACTGCCCGACGGCCTGGGGACGAGGTCGGATTATGTGATCGTCAAATTCAAAGCGCATTCACTGTATCCCTGTATCGCGCCTTAAGGCGAATGCATTGTGCAAGGTATTTTGTATTTTCGAAGCATCTTTGCCTTTAACGGATTATTTGAAAAAAGATGAAGCAATAAATCGCCATTGAAGGCGTTTACGTGATTGCACAGTGATAGCGTGCCGGGAATGATCTTAACTTTTTTATGTGATAAGGCGGCCGAGGTACATTGGTGGCAACTGTAAACCCTTTTGTGCATGCAATGTTTCCCTGGATCTATTCTTTCTTATGCATCCTTTTCGTGCATTTTGTGGAATGTACTGAGATGCAAGTGAATGTTAAATTCCTACCACTGGGGCATCCATACACCGTCATCGTTCAGCCGTCCCTCCCTCGCTGGATAAATCGTTATATGACTTGATGCTGTGATGTGGTCATCAGTGATGGTACCGTCTTCAAGACCGAGGGGCTCCGGGATTGAACACTCAATTACTGATATCAAAAGAGTAACCAGAAAATGTTTGCAAATGAAAATTTGGGACATAAAAAACAAGATTTTATAATGTGCGCTTTTAATTCATTTTGGGTCCGTTGCGTCAACATACGTAGCAGGGGGGAACATGACAAGACGCATATTTAAAGGCGACTTAACTAGTCGCTACTATGGCAGCTAAACGTTGCTGACTGAACATTAATAATTGTCCAAAGATGTGCTAGCAAATTCGATATTAATTCCGAATCTTGATTTCCAATAATGAAGTCGTATCTTATGTGGTTTCGGAAAATGAAATTTTGCCCCTGTAATATTTTTGTTCCGTTCTTTTTAATCGTGCGTCGACTTAATAATTATGGGGTTCACACGCAAGTTTTAACAAGTGTAAAGTGAACATCTTTATAATACATACACAACACAGATAGAACACACATACTGAGATTTGTATCCTTGTGGATTCATTTATTTGTTCTCGTGCACTAAAATTTTGAGTTTGAAAATCTAGTTTCAAAATGCTCCTGTTTTAACCAGAATAAATTTCCTGGGCTAAAATTCAGACCAAATATCTCTCATGAGATAATTCAATTGGCTTTGCAACGGACCAACACATCTTTGAAATTCCTAATTTTTGAGAAAAATCCATATATTTGCTTCGTGATAACCTTGTGGAGACGAACTCACCTGTAGAGATGTATACAATTTTTTGTTCCCTATAATACACATATCTTCACATGGTACCGTGTATCAGATCTTTCATGTGGCAAATATTTACACAGAACACACGATTGAGAAATAATTTTCGTTCTTTTGGGTTTTTTGGATTTTTTATTTAATTTTTTTAGACATTTAGTTGAAAAATACAATGACAAAAAATATAAGTAGGGGCTGTCACAAAATGAACAAAGTATAAAAACTGTCATCAGATGATGCGTTCTCTTAAACTTAATTAATGAATTCATATATTTTATGAGCGTTCAAAATTTCGATTCAAAATTTGTCATTGAAACGTTACAATTTGTGTACCCTTAACACAGTGTAGGCCTACCATTTAACACAAGGTATCGGCACTGTCGAAGTAAGGTTAAATTATACGTTGTTGGCCTACCTGTGGGAACTGTTTCCGCACGACTACAGTTGAAGTAAATTTGTATTTCGTCAGAATCCTCGCTCAGGAAGAGCTCATCCAGGTAGTAGGGCGCCATTTTGCGGTACGAAGAAGCGGGCATATGCATCCCACCGAGACGTACAGCGGTACATTTGCACGGATCCTTGTACGGTAACAACCAACGGGATGGTATACTAGATTGCGGGTTGTACTCCGATCCGATGAAGCAAATTTGATGACACGACACCAGCACTGTGTATTTTATATACAAAAAAAAAGAAAACAAAAACTACGAGCTTTGACAAGTTTGCAGATTCAAGAAAAAGAGACGCCTAACTTATACACAGTATACATTTTCAGGACTGACCAGGATTCAGTGAGATATGAAATATTAGGCTAATCTACCTGTCATTGCTGATACCATCAAAATCCAAGCTACTGGTCTGTCCATTCTCAGAGATGCAATGAACGACATGCCGTATGGACATTTGATTGTATATTACTAGTATTCAAACGATACCAACACCCCTACCCAGGTACGTAGACCACCGCCATTGGCAACAGATCACGAACGAGCACGAGTGTCTCGCAAGCATCCAAACCTTTGTGATTGGCTTGGGGCTTCTTTGTGGGAAGGGCAAGTTGTGGTGGCAGTTGCTCATTGCAGGTGGTAGTTTATTAAAACTCTCGTGAAATAAACGATAACCTTGCCCAAGCGCGTAAATAACAAAAAGTCAATATGACACCACGACTAGCAATTACTTGTAGCCTAGATAACATGCAAGCGTAGCTTATATATGGACAATGAATCTTTGGAAATTGTCTGAAGCGCAACAAAATCGTCCAGAAAGGTGGATATTAAAAACGAAACTAAATTAAAACTGACTTTGAAATGACGCGAAGCAGACATAACACTTTTGCAGGCCTATATTAATTTTTGGCAAAGTAGATGAACAAAACAACCCAAAACGTGGTCAAATCGATACAAACGGTAACGTTTAAAACAGTGAATACGAAAACCAATATGGTCTGAAGCGAATTTCTGTTTGTAAAAACGCGCAAAAATTGTGTAAAAATTATTATATCGCAAAGTTTCTCACAAAGGAAAACGTTTTTGGCCAAATAGAGTTGTAATAAGTTTGATTATATAAACCAATTCATAAATACCTCAGTTCCTTTCTTAAAGGACATCACAATTTCACTTATTAAGATAAAAATCAGCATCAGCATAACATCCATGAAACGTAGCAATATGACGATTGAAAATATTGTTAAGGGATTGCATTCAAATATTCGATGATATGGGCCCTTTAAATCGACGGTCTGTAATAGTCACAAAACAGCGAGAGATTCATAAAGGCGCATCGGACCTGTTTGTTTGGTACAGTGACAATTGTTTCTCAAGATGATGAATTCCCATCTGATTTTAATGAATATTTTCCATATCGACAAGTCCTCATTCATCAAAATCGAATTAAAGTTCAAATGCATCGCTTTTGCTTTAAATGTAGGTATCTTCATATTTTAGGAATATTTAATCAAATGAACCAAACCAACAAACCAACATTCCAATTGAATTTGTTACAACATTTACATATAAAAGTAAAATATTTGCAAATAATCAACACAACCACCTTTATAAGTCACCTTTATCACTATAAACTCATTGGACAAAACAACACAATAAATTACTTCTTTTCTTTTTTCTTTAATAACCACATTTACCAACCTAGATATAACCAAAAATAACCGTCCTCCACGTACATGTACATGTATGTTGACAAAACTAATTAGCTGTTTCGGCAAGTCAACCGAAACAGCTCTTGTTTTTGTAAAAAAAAATTGTCTCACCTTTTTTCCCGATAGGTTTTGTACATGTTTTCGTTCCACAAGCCACTTTTGAGAACTTCTTTCTATACAATCAAAAATCAACTTAAACTTTGCTTATAGTTATTAACCATCATCTGAGATGTATGCCGAAAATGTGTTCAGTCTTATAATCACAGAACTATTTGAACTTTTGATCTCAAATTTAGTAGGTATATAGACAGGGAAGTGTCATATATAAACATGGATATGACGTCATGTTAACTTTTTAATATGCGGTAGCAATTTAACGGAGTCTCAGCTGCTAAAAGCGGCTTCAGGGTTAATTAACGTAGCCTTCACTGAAGTCGTTGATATTAAAGATTCGATGCGATACGGTGCAGCACCGCACGCAGCTATATGCTCCTCACGTCAATAACCACAGGGACTGTAATAAAGTCTGGCCTAGATAGGAAGCGTGGACAATTAAAGATAACAATGAATCTATGGAAATAACATGCAGCGAGCAACCATTCATCTAAAATTGGCAGATATTAAAATACTTATTCTACGTAGTCCTCGTCTTTGGAACGACGCAAAGCCATATTGCAATATTACATCCTTTTGAAAATCATACAATATCCTTCAATGCAAATATTCATATTCAGGAATCGACATGACGCGGTGCTACACCGACTCATAACGATTGCCTCTTCATGCAAAATCAATAGAATCCCTATAACCTGATGAATACAAGGCAGTTATATGAACGAATCACAGTAACTGTTTTCCTCTTTAAGATAAAGATGTGTTCTGAAATAAGGAACAGTTTAGTAGTCCAAAAATTACAGCGTCATTAAAATTCTCTTGATTCTGGGCACTGCTCTGCGCAGTTTGCAGAAGCTTATCGTCGATATTGAAACTAGGCTCAACTTGTACAGTATAATAAACCAATGCCGCGATTCGGATACGCTCACATATACAGCAGGAATAATATCCCAAATGGTAACAAATAATAAGCATTAGATGAATAAAAAATAGATGCTGATAAAAAAGAGTATTTTGTTTCATTGTGTATCATGCACTATAGACTTTATTTGGAAAGTTTTATTCATTAGTTAATAAGCAGCACAAAATCACACTATATCTAAAACGAATTTCTCTCTGATTACTTATACGATATGTGTTTTATAAAGGGTGTAGTAACTTTCTAGAAGTCTAAATGTCTTTTCCCATTCAGTGAAAATGCTTTATCGGTATTAAAGATACATGATTCTTCGTTTCGCATCACGTTAACAAAACAAATTCGACTAAAACATTTCACTGCGATTTCTAATATTTATACCTTCACTTAAAATGTGAACAGATTGTTCGAATTCAAAACTTAAAAGTAAAGTTTAAATATAGTTCCAAACGGTTTAGTTACTAAGAAGAACTAGAAGGCTAACCCTGAATTAGTTGTTTCGGTGCTCATTGTACCTTTTTATTGTGAGTTTCGTTTAAGACATTGAAATATATTGTAAACAGAATTAAACAGCAAGTTTCATAAGCGAGAAATCGAAATTTATTGAAGTCAAGTTTTCTTAATATACTTACATCTAAACCTATACATATATAAACGTTACCATAAGTATACATTCCATTTTTTTTTGAAAAGGTTCTGTTAGAAAAATTACTCCATTCGATTCAAAATAGGAACAGACACAATACGATTTAAAGAGAAACCATTGAATCGAGTAGGTCGAGTGTCCACTTGGACACTGCTTTTCAAAATTTCACAATCTAAATTAGAATAATCTCTTCCTCAACTTATTGTCAGGACTCTCGTTTTAAATGCTACAGTTGAATTAATTCAGATGACATCCAAGCAACTCAAATCGCAAAGTAGCATAATAATACCATTCAGTAGGCTCAATTCGCACTACCGTCGCAACCACACTCTCATCAAACAGGTTAGTAACCGGGGTGTTGCCATCAGTGTTACCGATGAATACCTGAATGTAAACAATATATCCGGCTTAGTTAAGCATGTACCACATTAATACTTTTTTATTCAAGTATTGTGTGATGTTGCAAAGTTCTGAAAGAAAATTGGTGTTCAATACAAATTGAAGTTGAGAGAGCAAATGACATGTTTCATAATAAAAATGTTTGGTTTAATTCCACTCTTTTAAGAGGGCCCATTTCATAACTTTCAAACTTAAAGAAAGGTATGCAAATCACTTTTTGGTTTAGTCAGATTCACAAATGCCATAATTCTTTAAACTAAAAGCGTTGCTAATGAAATTACGTCCCTCCTTTTATATTTCGTTTCCTTTTATTGCGTTCTTCTATTATGGATATAAGATACAAAAGATACCGTGAACATGATAAGATTTTGAAAGAAAACAAATCACACTAATGTAAGACAGCGTGGCAGAAGTAAATATTATACATCTGAATATCAAAATCGTCAGAAAGCAGAAAACGGGGATGATTACTTATTTACCTTGATGTTTCCATTTCCATCTGTCATGTGTTCATAGTCAGATGAGGATTGATTCTTATACGACGCCTTGTACTTTTTCACATAACCATAAATGTCAAAGCTTTGCGTGATGATACCAGACACCACCTTTATCACAACGAGGTCCACTTCGATCCAGGGATTTTTCTCGTCACTGTTGAACGAGAGAAGGAAGAATGGGATGAATGAAATCACTGTTCTCCACAAACAATTGAACCAGTCGTGACTAGAGCGAATGGAAAACCCTCCCTCCTCCCATTCCCCTCCCTTACTACGTGTTGGATGAATATATACGTGCTTAACATTACAACCATAAAGACATCTTTGGTTTTTCGATCTCACGCACGCCACTATGGCTATGTCGTCTGTACCCCGAAGACCGCATAATTTGAATACCGAATTTTGTTTTAAAGCACTATGACTTCCACTATTTTATAATGCTTGGATAGCATTCATTGCTGGGTCAATTTCTTCTTGTGCATTCTTTTGTGCATTTCGTGGAATTCTGAATGTTTAATCCCTACCTTTGTGGTATCCATGCGCCGTTGCAGTTCAGCCGTCCGTCGCTGCCAGGCCAGTTTGTTTGATGACTTGATGCTGTGATGTGGTCATCAGGGATGGTACCGTCTTCGAGACCGAGGGGTTTCGGACTCGAACACTCAACTACTGGTATTCAAACAGGACAAAAATTTAATTGATTCTTCAGTAACCTGAAAACTCATAGAAATGAAACACATTATGATCGTCTGAAAAAAAACATCCGCGTTTCCAAGTTCGTTGCATCCAAAGCAACGAAAAGAATAAGTTTGAAAAGGCACATCGCCTTAACTAGTGGCCACTTGCGGGTGTTCGGGTTGTTCTTTTAGTTAAATTTTTCTATGAATTAATGGATTAATATATGTTGATGAGCATTCCTAATTTTACTTATGTCATTGAAAGGTAACGATTGATAAGATGTACCCTTAACACAATATACAATGTATACCTGCACAGTAGAAGTACCGTAAGTTTGAATTAAAAACGCGTGTATACGTTGTTGACTTACCTGTGGGAAATGTTGTCGCACGACTACAGTTGAAGTAGGTTTGAATTTCGGTTGAATCCTCGCTCAGGAAAAGCTCGTCCAGGTAGTGGGGCGCGCCCTTGCGGTTCGACGAGGCTGGGGTGCGCATCCCACCGAGACGTATAGCGGTGCATTCGCACGGATCTTTGTACGGTAAGAACCAACGGGGTGGGATTCCAGATTGTGGGTTGTACTCCGATCCGATGAAGCAAACTGGTTGACATGACACCAGCACTGTATAATTTATATACAAAGAAAGAAAAGGAAACTGTGAGCTTAGGAAGTTTTGCAGATTAAAGAAAAAAGAGAGCGTATACACAGTACCTGTTAAATGACGAGTTCGGGACTGATAAGGATTCAGTGCGATTTGAAATCTCAATCCTACCTGCAGCTGTCAGCGCTGATACCATCAGAATCAAAGGCACCGCTCCTTCCATTCTCACAGATGCAATGCACGATCATCCATACGGTTGAGTATTTTCACCAGTATACGAACCACACCGACAACGCCTCAGCACGTACGTACGCCACCTTCATTGCCAACCAATTACGAACGAGCACGAGCGTCTTGCAAATATCCATACTTTGTGATTGGCTTGAGGCTTCTTTGTGGGCGGGGCTAGGTGTATTCTACGCGAGTTGTGGCGTCAGTTGTTTATTGCAGGTGGTTATTTATCAAGACGATTATAATTTCGACGACAACCTTGGCCAAGCACGTACATATTAATAAATCAATTGGTCAGCACGACTAGCAATTACTTGTAGCCTAAATTATATGAAAGAGTTGATTATAAGATGGATAATGAATCTTTTGAAATTGTCTGAAGCGCAACGAAATCATCCAGAAATTTAGATATTAAATACGAAACTCAATTAAGACTACGGGCTCTCGGCGTCTTTGGAATGACGCGAAGCAGACATAACACTTTTTATATTAAATTTTTGACAAAATAACTGAACAAAACAACCAAAATTGGGGCAAATCGATACAGAACGCCTATGTACGAGAATTGGAGTTTCGTGCAGTGAATGCCAGACGAATATATTCTTAGGCGCTGTTTGAGGAAACATATGAAGTTCATAAAAACAATTTGTCATATCGCACTGCTCCTAAAAAAGACAAAGGTTATGGCTAACCACAGTTGTAATAAAACTTCCTCAACGCCTCTGCTTGGCAACAAATATGGAGTTTGACCAAAAACAAAAAAAGAGAGAGGCAAGATTCTATTTTGAAGTTTACTGTTAGGAAAACACTCGAATCTCCTTAAATTTTATTCGAATTTTTCAGCTCTTCTTCGCATATTTTATTGTGACAGAGAAAAATAAAGGGCTTGACAGTGGCGACAAGCGAGAAACTCTGTTTACTCAAGGGATTATTTTGCAAAATTGTTATATTTTGCCAAAAAAACGGCTCATTGATCTGGAATTGGTTAAAGTATACACATCCATATCAGGCTTAAGTAAACAACCATCAGGTATCAATTTTTGTAGATGATTATTACTTTGTCCAATCGTTGAAGTAAACAAATTTGTAAATAAATTGATGTGAATAATGTTGTAAATATTGTAGCGTAGAACAATTCTGGGGTTCCTCACACGCACTCAAAAAGGACTCCAACACAGGTATACTCGTTTCTGCTGGCTCTAGGCTGTTTATTCCTCACAAAAACGTACACCGCAAAACACAACTATTCTCTTCAGCAACGAGGCAACAACAATACAACTGCGCATGCGCCGCCCGGAAGGACGGGCCTCCCCGGCCGGCCACCAGGGGCTCCACTGCGCGGCTCCACCGTGGAACCGCGCTGGTGCCCTCTGGCGGCCGACCGGCACGGACGCCACACCGCCCCCTTCGAGAACCTTGTTTGTCCCCAAACAGGGCGCCGGCATCCGCAATTGGACAACCGGGAGGACCCGGCCCGGAGGCGCATGACACAACAAAATTACTACAGCATTCAAACAACAACAAAAAAAGAAAATGCAAGGAAAGAACAAGAAATCAAAGAACAAGTCTAAGGTTTAGTTGGTGGGTGGCGGCCGGCGCTGGAACTCCGTTTGCCGGACCAGCAGCTTCCAGAACTCTCGGGGGACGCCATTGGGGTAGCGCGGGGGCGGAGGCGCTCCAGGGGGCAGCATTCCTCCCAGTGAAGGTTGAGCGGACACGGAGGGATCTTCGAAGTGCTGGCCGTACTGCTGTCCCTGGTACGTCTGCAGGAGACGCCCAGGCAGTCCGATTGGACCGGACCCTCAGGGGACATCAGGGGTTCCGTCTGCGTTCCGCCTTCTGCCCTTGTCGGCAGGGGGCAACCAGGGCTTGCTTCCGCTGCCCTGCTGAAGCGAGGACGCCTGCCCTGGGCACGGCTCCAGGGGAACTGCCGGTTGGGACTCCGCCGGGGTGGTGGCTGGCAGGGTCGCTCGGACCGGTCCCGGCTCCGCCGACCAGGCGTCCTGTCCTGTTCAGGTCGGGAAGGCCGGAAGGACCGCTCCGGGTGGTCGCAGCCCCCCGGCCCCCTGACGACACTGGACTTATGCGTCTTCTTAGTGGCGGCGGCGAGGGGACCGTCCTGCCGGACCACACCGTCCGAATGGAGGTGGGTCTGGGGTCCCCTGCCAGGAGAGATGAGGCGGGGACGGGGCCTGTCCCATGTCGTCGTCACTGGCGTGCACCTCCAGCGCATCGGCCTCCGCCATCACCACGGCCACGCTGTCCCCTTGGCAGAAACGGTGGTGTCTGGCGCGGACATCGGCCCTAAAAAACCGAACTCCACACCCTCTCTGGCAGGGGTATGGGTGCTCCGGGTTGAGCGCAACACACGCTGTGTTTAGGTGCCTCCGTAAGTTCCTCCTCCTCCCGAACGTATGGTCACAGTACGGGCAATGAATCGGGAAATAACGGCGTCCTCGCTGCTCGGTCCTTCTGGGGCGGCAGCCGCCGTCGCCTCCGATGGCAGTGTCCCCTTCCCCGTCTGAACTGGTAGTGGTCCCTCCTCGGCTAACTGACCACCCAATCCGGCCAGCGACTCGGTGGTAGCGTCACCTCCTGGTCTTGGGTTGGTGGCGGTCCCCCTTTTTGCAGGTTCTGCGCTACGCGCCTCCACCAGTCCACTTCAGCGTCGCCCAGATACGGCTTAAGCCGATTGGAATGAACCACCTTGGCTTTGGCTCGAGGGGATTTTTGCACGCGGAACGTGACATCATTGATCTTCTGTATCACCAAGAAGGGCCCGTCCCACCAGCACTGCAACTTGGGCGTGCGACCCACTTTCTTGGAGGGGGTATACAACCACACAGGTTGGCCAGGCTTATAGCTGGCACTTTCTGCTCGAAGATCGTAATGTCGCTTTTGATATGTCTGGCTCTTCCGCAGATGATGACGGGCAAACTCGTGGGCGCGCTCTATCTTTGTCCTCAACCCCTCCACATATTCGTGCTCTGCTGCGCCTGCCTTTGGTTTCTCCGGCTGGCCCACCAGCAGGTCCAACGGAAGTTGCACTTCTCGGCCGCACATCAGCATGTTGAGCGTGAATTTTGTGCTGTAGTGCGGGAGGAGCGGTACGCCATCATAACGTACGGTAGGTGTTTGTCCCAATCGTCCTGGTTCTCATGAACAAACAAGCTCAGCATCGTCTTGACTGTGCGGTTGAACCGCTCCACCATCCCGTCGGACTGGGGGTGCAATGGCGTGGTGCGGGTCTTTTGGACGCCGAGCAGCTTACAGGCGCCCTGGAAGAGCTCGGCTTCGAACTCCCTCCCTTGATCCGTGTGGATCTTTAGGGGAGCTCCAAACCGGGTGATGACCTGTTCGACGAGGACTTTGGCGACAGTCTGAACAGTCTGGTCCGGGATCTGAAACGCCTCCACCCACTTCGTAAAGTAGTCGGCCACCACCATGATGCTAGAATTCCCTGTCCTCGTCCTCGGAAATCGACCCGTGAGGTCGATCGCGAGGCGCTCCATCGGAACCCCTACCAGGTACTGTTGAAGTGGGGCCTTGAGTGGTCGAGGAGGTGACTTCTTTGACCCGCACTTGTGGCACTTCTGACACTCTTCTGCCTGGCGTCGCATCTCCCTCCAGAACACCGGAGCCTGTCTCCGCCGTGCGACGGTCCGGGTAATCCCCAAATGTCCTGAAGTCCTATTGTCATGCGCCAGTCGCAAGACGTCGTCGACTTTTACCGTGGTACCACGACCTTCCATACCGGCGGTTCGCCATTGGGCTGCTCCCACTTCACCTGCAATACGCCCTGGGACAGCCGCAGCGTCTCTCACTTAGCCCACTAGTACTTCGGGCAGTCACCCAGCGCCGAGACGTCCCGCCAGCTGGGTTTGGGGACCCCGTCTTCCAGCCACCGCACAATCTTGTCCAGCTCTGGGTCACTACGTTGTTCCCGTTTGAGTTCTTCCTGGTCCCAGGCTTCCAGGAGCCCTTCCGTTGTGGTGGCTTCTTCCTGCCCAGCCCCCGTAACGGCTCCCACCTGCACCTCCCCTGGTTGCGTCTTCCCAGCATCGCGCAACTGGCTCGGCTGCAAGTCAGCGTCCCGCTGAGCATGGGGGCTTTCTTTAGTAAAGCATTCTTGACTTGCTTCTTTTGATCGCCCACACTGGCCACACTAGAGACGGCGTCGGCGTTCGTGTGCTTCCTACCCGCCCGATGTTCCACATCGAACTCGTAGCACCCCAGCCTCTGAATCCACCTGGCCGTCTGCCCCTCGGATTTGCAAAGTTGAACAGCCTTCGCAGCGATCCATGATCCGTTCGGAGCAGGAACCGGTTACCAAGAAGGTAGTGTTTGAAATATGAACGAAATGGACCACGGCCAGCAACTCTCTCCGAGTGGTACAGTAGTTGCGTTCGGCCTTAGACAGGGTACGGCTGCCATAGGCGACCACTCGTTTACCATCGTCCCCCTCCTGCGACAGCACTGCTCCGATGGTGCAGTAGCTGGCATCTGTGTCCAGGACGAAGCGGCGCTCCGTATTCGGGTAGCACAACACGGGTGCGGTGGTCAATGCGTCCTTGAGGTGCTCCAATGCTGACTGGCAAGCACTCGACCAGGAGAACGCCCTTTGGCTCTTGGTGGTAAGGGCAAGGAGGGGGCGAGCAATCTCGGCGAAGTTCGCAATGAAGCGCCTGTAGTAGGACGCGAGGCCCAGGAAACTCCGTACTTGAGTCAGGTTTGCTGGTTGCGGCCAGTTCCTGATGGCCGCAACCTTTTCCGGATCCGTCCTTACTACCTCGGCCGACACGAGGTGACCCAAGAAGGACACCTCCGTCTCGAAGAGATCGCATTTCTTCGGTTTGAGCTTCAGGCCGGTGGCTCGGAATCGCTCCAGGACCGTGGTCAGCCGCTTGTGGTGTTCCTCGAAGTCTGCCCCCCACACGATCACGTCATCCAGGTAGAGCACCGCCACCTGCCACTGCAACCCCCTCAACACTTGCTCCATTAGACGATCAAATGTCGCAGGAGCGTTGCAAAGGCCAAAGGGCATAACGGTGTACTGGTACAGACCGTTCTGCATCCCAATAGCCGTCTTCTCCCGGTCACCCTGGTCAATGCCGACTTGCCAGTAGCCACTGGCCAGATCAAGGGTGCTGAACCACTTCGCCCCGCTCAAAGCGTCAAGGTTGTCCTCGATTCTGGGGATTGGGTAGGCGTACTTCAGCGTCACCTCATTGACTTTCCGGTAGTCGACGCAGATCCGGACAGACCCATCCTTCTCCCGGACCAGCACCACCGAGGATGACCAAGGGCTGGGGGGGGGGGGGGGCTCGACCACGCCGACCTGCAGCATCTGTTTTACCTGCCGGTCGGCTTCTTGCCGTTTATGTATCGGCAATCTCCTCGGCGGTTGACGTATAGGCGTTGCTGTCCCTGTATTTATTGTGTGTCGGATCAGTTTGGTCTGACCAAGTTTGCCGTCCGGGCCGGTAAATGCTCCAGCGAATTCCGTCAGCAATTCAGCCAGTCGGGAACGTTCAACACGGTCAAGGTTCGCGGCTCCTCGCTCCAGGAGGTCTTGCAGATGGGGCGGTACCTCTCTCTGGGCATCCGTCCTCTGTCCGGTGTCACCCAAAGAAAGTTGGTTGACGGCAGATCCTTGTTGCCCGTCCTCCAGCTCAATCACATCCAGACCCTCCATTGGTGAGAAGAGAGCCAAGCGGCTGCACTCTCGCCACCATGGGTTTGTGCATAACACTTCCCAAGGGGACCGCCTTCCGGTTAATGATGACAGCGTTGTCTCCCGATCGCCATTCGCAGTGATACTTTGACAAGAAATCAATTCCGAGTACCACGTCTGGCTCGATATCGGCCACGGTAAAGGTGTGGTTTGCGCGCAAATCCCCAACTTGTAGGTCGAAGTTGCCCCCCCCCCCCTCCCCCCTCTTGTCGGCATGGGGCAGTCGTCTGCCATCCTCAGAGCTGGAGATGACGGAAGGAGGTTCGGGCTCTCGGCACTGGGCAAGGCGTTGTAGATTCGCTCCGAGATCAGACTCACTGCTGCTCCGGTGTCTAGGAGGCAACGCACTGGTTTCCCCGCGATCCTCCCCGCCACGTAGTTCGCCTTAGACGTCCCACCCGAGGCCGGTCTGGCCCGAACAGCCGGCTCCGGCACAGGAAGTTTCGGTGTTTCCTCTTTCTGTGGTCGTGGCTGGAAGGAGGCAGACTGACGTTTCTGATGGGGGCAGTACCGTCTGATGTGTCCAAATTCGTGGCACCCATAGCACTCCACCTGGGCACACGCACCTGGTGTATACACGGCCCGGGGGCCAATTTGGGTTCCTCGGCAGGGGTTGGAGGAGGCTGGGCTACCGACCTCACGTCCCTAGCCATCGATTTCTTTTTTCTGTTCTGCGCTTGCGACTCCAGAAATGCTTCCATTTCGGTCGCGTGAGTGACTGCCTCGGTCAAAGTCATCGCTTTCCTGGACAAGATGTGACGCTGCAGCTGTTCTTCTCCCAGGGCATTGCGGAAAGCCTCAACCGCCAAATCCTCACGGGCCTGCGTGGGCCACTTCGGGTAGCTCTTCAAGACCAATCGTCGGATTGATTGTCCTAGGCTACCAAGTGCCTCGTCCCGGCCCCTCGTACGCTTAGACAGCTGTGCCCGGTGAAGCGGAATCTGTGCTGTCTCGCCAAACCGTTGCTCGAAGTTTTCCAAGATGGAGGAATATTCCTTCCGTGCCTCTGGTGTCATATCTGCCAATGCCTCCTGAGCCGCACCCTTTAGGTGAGATGCAAGGAACATTGCCTTCTCCGCCTCACTCCACTGACGGACTGCTGCCACACTCTCGAAATGGATCAAGTAGTCCGACCACGATGAGATCCCGTCAAACCTGTTGGGGAGCATCAGTGGTCTCCGATCCCCCGGCCCGAGGTGATCAGGCGTCGCAGTTCCCGCTTGACTGGCACTTGGGTAGCGCTCTCCCCCGTCTGTTTAGGGGCCGCCCAAACATCGCCTACAGCCTGCCGTCCCGTAACGGCAGAAACTGGGTCGGTCCCCCCTGGGAGCACCGGGTGGTGACATCCCATGGGATCACCCAATTGCAGTGGTGTACGGCCGAGCAGCCGGGTCGGTTCCGCTCCGTTGGCTTGTGTGCGGAGCAACTCGGTTCCATTGACTCACGTGCGGAGCAGCTCTATCGGCTCCGCGCCATAGACGTCCGTGCGGAGCAACCTTGCCGGCTCCGCCCCATTGGCTTGTGTGCGCGGAGCAACTCCATTGACTCGTGTGCGGAGCAACTCTGCGGGCTCCCGTCAATTGACTCGTGTGCGGAGCAACTCCACGGGCTCCACTCCATTGACTCGTGCGCGGAGCAACTCTGTCGACTCTGCCCCATAGACTCCCGTGCGGAGCAACTCCGTCGGCTCCGCCCCATTGACTCGTGTGCGGAGCAACTCTACGGGCTCCCGTCCATTGACTTGTGCGCGGAGCAACTCCACGGGCTCCACTCCATTGACTCGTGTAGTGCGAGCCTGCTCCGAGTGGAGGTCAGGACTCGCCATACTGCGATATTGGGGACGAACGTTCTGCTGGGGGAGATCCACTCCCGGTCGTGCCGCCTGAGGCGCGCTCGGACGGTTTCCCGCCCCCGGTATATGGGCAAATCCAGCCTGGGGCGCCCCGAATGGGAGGCCGCACCAGTCGTATCCATGTAAGCACCGAGTTGTGCTGCCATGTGGGGCCTAGCACTAATTTCATGAACATAGGGGTTGTGGGTTGCCCCAGGACGAAAACCCGCCCCCGCTGCATCAACCAGCACAGCTCGGAATCGCTCCGAATGGAACGAGACGTCTGCAGCGCCAGCGTCTACAGCACGGGGCGGCCCCTCGCAGGACCTGGCATGTACTGTGTTAATACCAGCAACCTGGGGTATGTCCCGACGAAGCCCCGCCCCGCTGCATCGGACAGCACAAATCGGGATCGCTCCGAGTGGAATGAACCATCTATTGCGCCATCGTCTACAGCACGTGGCGACCCTACGTGGGATCTGTCCTGTACTGTGTTATTACGGAATATCTGGGGTATGTCCCGACGAAGCCCCGCCCCCGCTGCATCGGACAGCACAAATCGGGATCGCTCCGCATGGAACGAACCGTCTACTGCGCCACCGTCTACAGCACGAGGCGGCTTCTCGTGGGACAGGGTACCAGTCATTGATAATTTATGACAATGAGCATGCCCACCCCCGCAGGGGTAGACGTACTGCAATGACTTAACGCCCCGCCAAAGTCCAGAAATTCCACATTACCATCCCCCACATCCTCCCTCATGAGAAAATCCGTCCCCCAAAACCCCCTTGTTTCCCCTTTCCTCCCACCAAAATTCCCCGGACTATCCCGCAAAAAGGATTCCAACTCGTCCACCGGCCGATCCACTTGACGGGCCCCCACTCCGTGAGCCCGCACTCCAGCCTGCCTCCTCGCCGAGTGGCGAGTTGGGTGCCAGACTTTCGTGATCTCCTGATATCATTGCAGAAAATCGCCTTCTGCGTGCCGCCGCTGCCACCAATGTAGCGTAGAACTATTCTGGGGTTCCTCACACGCACTCAAAAAAGGACTCCAACACAGATATACTCGTTTCTGCTGGCTCTAGGCTGTTTATTCCTCACTAAAACGTACACCACAAAACACAACTATTCTCTTCAGCAACAACAATACTACTGCGCATGCGCCGCCCGGAAGACGGGCCTCCCCGGCCGGCCACCAGGGGCTCCACTGCGCGGCTCCACCGTGGAACCGCGCTGGTGCCCTCTGGCGGCCGACCGGCACGGACGCCACAATATATATACAAGAAAGACTTGTTTTGAATTTCCCTCAGTGTCTTATACGAGTGGTTTAGGCTTAACGAACAGGGATGATACATTTGCTGAAAACTTAATTCCAGGTGTGATGATTATAGGTAGCACATAACTCGTTGTTTTAATTTGTCATTTGAAATAGCCCCATGTTACATTTGTAATGAATCTATAGTTACTGATAAGGTAACGCTTACATTAACTAATCCAAGCAAGAAATGCCCTAAAAATGACTTGGTTTTCTAAATAATATCTTTACTTCACGCTGAATGAACTACTGCATTTAGACAATAATATTATCTGAATGGCAATCGCTGTATCGATTCAGAACTAATACAAAAACTACTTATACATCGGCGTTAACCATAAACATCTTAAATAACTTGAACCAAACGTAGTAACTTTTTCTTTCGGAGTTAATTACTACTATGCCACAGAAATAAGAAATAATTAGCCTCAAGCACAATATCAATAATGAAACATTTTACATGTATTATAAACACGCAAACAACCTGAATAAAAGGGTAAATCTGTGCTTATACATTTCGGTTTAGATTAGAGAACAAAGTTGATCATACTTTACAGATAATAAGTAAAGACAAATTACTCTAATTTTGTCATTGACTCAAATACACAAGCAAAACTGCGGTAAACAGAGAATTAAGTTAAATAGCATTACAAACTGGTGAGTTTACCATGAATCGTCAAATACTGTCGTATCATATTTAAATTGCCTATGTGGCACTATATATAAAACAGTTTGTTTGATATCAATTGATGCAATTGATTGCTTCATTTATTTCAACAAAGACAAAATACTGCGTAATATTACCTCTTCCCATCGGATTGGTCCTCAGTTTTTTAATCCATAGAAATGTTGCAACCAAAGATGATCAGAATCGCATTAATTGCTTCAGCTGGATGAATTCCGGCGACATCCAAGCAACTCGAAGCGCAGAGCAACGCCAGAAACCCATTCAGTAGGCTCGATGCGCACTACCGTCGCCACCACACTCTCATCAAACAGGTTAGTGACCGGAGTATTGCCATTAGTGTTGCCGATGAACACCTGAAAAGACAACCAAAATACAATAAATTTTCGTTGAATCAATTGTCTTTGAATGAACTGCGTAAAACATCGTATTAGACCAAAACTTTCCGAAAACAGGGTATTTCGGGGCAGCCTTAAATAGAGTAAGGCCTACAGTTCATCCTACCCAGACAATCTGTTTAGAGGAGGCATAATTTCCAATTCGAAATTACGCTATAGATTTAGGCCCCTCGGTTTATATTTCAAATTATGTTTTGTATTTTCTTTATATCCAAGGGAGCCCTCCATAAATATAATAACATGTTCGCATATAATATGAAATAACTTGGATTATGTGGCTTTTTGTGAGTAGCCCGCCCGCCCGGACGAGAGTTCTTCCTCTTGGTTTTTTACAACATTAAACAACCGGTTTAGATTTTGTCTTTCCTGACTAGGAGTAATTCAAAAACAACAAAATCTTGGAGATGTTACAACTGTTTGCACACTGTTGTAGTTGTCAGACCAAGGTAATAAATTAGTTCACCTTGATGATTCCGTTTCCATCAGTCACGCGATCATACAGGGATGAGGGCTGCTTCTGATACGCCGCTGTGTAGTGCGTCACATACCACCCGGCCAAGCCTTGCGTTATGATACCAGACACCACTGTACTCTCAACGAGGTCCACCTCGATCCAGGAATTGGCGTAGCTGTACATGTATGCAAACACACAGTGAAGGTGCATGAGAACCAATGACATGACATTGCTCCGGAAACAAAGCCACTTTTTAACACAAAACTTTCTTTATCACAGTGCTCAGTTTTTATTTGGCCTATATGAGATAGTTCGTCCGCAAAATTATTCATGAGAGGTAATTTGCTAGAACCCGTCTTGAAGCAGTGGAGTAACTATTTGAGTCAATGACAAGTGCCTGCAAGTCAACCTCAACTCCATTATAAGTCAATTAGTCTCAAGTCAAGTCACTAGCTATTCAAATGAACTGTTACAAAGACAATATTCCTTTGCCATTGTTCATCCCGTTCCTGTATCGAGTGTCGGGTGTGGTGTTTCCCTTTGATGCCTACCTGGACGTTGGTGACCACACATTATTGTCGTTGAGACGTGCGTCAGTGGCAGGGTAGCCTGAAGAACTATAGGACGCCGTGATGCGATCATCAGGGATTGTCCCGTCCTCCATACCGAGGGGCTCTGGACTCGGGCACTCAGCTATGACTGTGAAGCAAGGGAGGGAACGCAGTTTGTACAAATTTATTATGACAATTCACCAACTTTTTTTCGGGAGCATCAATCCCACGGTTGTGCCTTTCACAAGTCATCATGCGTGATAAATTGTAACTCCAAACATCTTTAAAATCGCTAACTATTTCTTTTAACAGTGGTGTCGATTTGAAGGCGTTGCTGCCCTCACGCTTAGGTGGACTCTTTCGGCCAAGCAGGGCGCCATCTTGTGGCGAAAACAAATGAAATATGTTCACTACAAAGACAGTACATTTTGTATTTGCAAGGACATTTATGTGCTTGCTCCCTTGGATATTAAGGACAAAGTAAGAGTAACGAGTAACGTCATTCTTTTTAACCCTAAAAGAGCCGGGGCGGAATCCGTCCCCCCCCCCTCAACTTCTTCCGCGACCCGAGCTGTTATGTCTTTTTAGCCTCGAGCCTTGCGCATCTTTTGATACCAAAAACATAAAAAAAATCCCGTATACGTCGTGTACACAAAGCATAATTGCCATTAGTACATATGAATAATTAATTAGCCATAATTCCAAAACCTTTTGGTCTATAGTCATGAAATGTCTTGGGTATGTTTATGAAAAGTTGCTTTATGCATGTACCGAGTTTCAAATGTTTTCGTAACTCGATCGCCGAGATCTTAGGGGGGCGGAATCCGCCCCCTCCCCGGCTGAGAGATGATCAAAATAACCCGGCCCTTTTAGGGTTAAGAAGCAAAAGCCTCAGCATAGTATCATTATGCCTATTTTACACCAAAAAAATCATTCAATTTATCTTTTAAGTCCTCGACGATTTGAACATAATTTTGGAAAACAAAATGGTCCAGCCAGTTGTATATGTCGTGTGATTGAGGATATCCGCATGCTAGTGCATGGGGTTTGGTTAACATCTTAAGGTCGCTTACCAGCTGCGGTAGGTTCCCTCCTTCCCGGGCAACGCTTCCGTATCTCTTGCAAGACTATCTTCATCCAGTGATCCGGATTTTCAGGATCCGGTTCCGGTGGAAGACCGAAGTAACACACCCTCGCCTGGCTCTCCACACCAACCAAGAGCACTTTGATTTAAGGAAAACTATTATCATCACGTGATGAATTTCCTGTCTTTCATCTTAGTTATACTCTCAGGTATTGTTGGGGTCGGTAAGATTCGTCTGGGCGTCACTAGGATTACGGGGGAGAGGAGCAGAAGGGGTGTCTTGTCTCTCTGTCTGTCTGTCTGTCTGTCTTGATTGACTGACTGCCACACAAAGCAGAAGTACTCTTACAAGAAACTCCGGACATAGCTCTTTACCTCCGAACAACAACCAGGCGAAACACAATCAGCAGATTGACTTCATTTTCGTTAGGAAGAAGTGGTGGAAAAGCATCAGAGATGCTCAGGCTCAATTTCTTTAACATCGTGGGGTCAGATCACTGCGTGGTCTCAGCCAAGGTGATACTCAGTATGCGAGTACTCAAGAAGCAGGTGGAGAAAAAGGCCAAGTACTTGTGGAAGGCTTTGGATAGTGACAAATTGTTTCAAGAGAAATACACAGTGGAAGTGAGAAACAGATTTGAATCTTTGGAAGTGGATGAAGATGCAGCGAATAGCTAGTAAAAACGCTTCCTCATCTGACTGTTCAAACGGTACTAACACTTGTACCCAAAAGCAAGGACAAATTCTATTAAAACAATCCTAGAGTCCTTTAGACCAGATGTCAACTTTGCTGCAGAGGGAAAACAAGATGAGGGCGTATATGTTCTTAAGAAAGAACAGCTCTACAAGGTCTTTGATGGGGTGTTGGCTAAATATCTAGCCAAGAAAATCAAGAGCATCGGAGATAGCCATGCTAACAAACAACATTCTACAAAGGTTGGACCCTCGTCAAAGAAGTTTCTGGAAATTGTTCTTCTTCTCAACCAAGTCAGATTGCTGGGGAAACTGTTGAAGATCGACCCAACTCGTGGTACAACCACTTTAAAAACCTCCTTGGTAATTCCCCAGTAGCGGAGACTGAGGATGAGGAAATACAACCAGAACCTGCCGATCAACGATGGACCACCCTCAAAGAGTACAAAACTGCAAGAAGGCTTAATCAAACCAGAGGAGAGATGTGGGGAAGAAGGGATAGTGCCGGAGGCGCTAAAATGGTTGCTCATATACACGCTTTGTTATACATCTCCAACAAATCCCTTCATTGACCAAGAGTTAAATACCCAGGCATTGGACAGTGCCCAACTTAATTCTTTTTCCGAAGTCAGGCGATCTCACGAAGGCTGATAATTACAGACGAATCAGCCTCAGCTCTGTGGTTGCAAAGGTCTACAACCGAATGATTCTGAATAGAAACCGTCCAGTTCTCGATCCTCTGCTGGGCAAAAACCAGAACGGCTTCAGAGAGAAGAGGTCCACAGTCTCACAGATACTGGCTCTGGAAAGGATCATCGAGGGGTAACAGGACGCATCTCCCAGCTGTCATGACCTTTGTCGACTTCAGGAAGGCGTTCGACTCGATCCACCGAGGGAAGCTCCTGGAAATTCTGCGAGCCTACGGAATCCAAGCGCGCATAGTACAGGCAATCAACGATGTGCATTTTAACATTTCTGCCAGGGTGCTGACTCCCGATGGCGAGTCAGACATCTTTGAGAATATGGCTGGTGTACTGCAGGGTAATACTCTCGCGCCCTATTGATTCATCATCGTCCTTTACTACGTGGGGAGGGAGGGGAGCTTGGTTTCACTGTCTTGCAAAGCAGAAGGATGGGTGCTGTGGTAGAGTCCGACTTTGACTTTGATGGCGACATTGCTCTCAGCGTGGAATGAGAATGTAAAAAGATTGGCCTGAAGCTGATTGCCTAGAAGACGGAATTCATGTGCTTCAACATCAACACTAGGGATGCAAAAATCAACACAAAGGACGGCACTACCCTTGCTGTGAAAAAAAATAAATGACTTCAAGTACTTTGGCTCTTGCATCAACTCAACAGACAAGGACATCCCAGTGAGGAATGCACAGGCTTGGAATGCTTGCCAAAACCTTAAGAAGATCTGGAAGACTACAATGCCGGATAAACTCAAACGATCGGGCGCTATTCCGTGCAAGCGTGGAGTCCAGTCTGCTCTTCGGTTATGAGACATGAAGCCTAACTACAAAGCAAGAGGGTCACTTCGATGGCTGCAATACTCGCATGCTGAGGATGGCTGTAGACGTGGGCTGGAGGGACAAAGTCGGGAATGAGGTGCTCTACGGCAACCTGGTCAGAAATAGGCGTCTGCGATTGGCGGGATACTGTGTATGACGCCCAGAGATAGCTGCACTCATCCCATGAGAACCCGCACAAAGAGTATAGCCTCTCGAGGTGGGCAGATTTTAACCTACGTGTATGAACCAGATAACTTTGACAAGGGTCCATTTTTGTCGTTTAAAGCGCGTTTTTGCTACGCCGGGAACTCAGTAAAAATGATTGTCTGCAGAACTAAGTCCTAAGGAAAAATCAGCATTTTCCACCACAATCATCTTATAATACGCTGTCTGTCTGATGTCTGTCTGATGTCTGTTTGTCGCAAAAAAAGCCCAAGGAGTGCGCGGAAACACATAATGGTTGTATCAATGATTCCTTTGATTATGCTGTCATCCAGTGTGGTAAATTGTGCTCCGATTTCACTGTCCTTTGAAGTCCCGGTTGGCACGTGAAAAAAAATGTATTGGGTAAACGACCCTATCAGCCTTTTGAAATGCTACATGTTATTCTTTTTTTGACAATAATTCTCCGCGGGTTTTCTCCTTCACAGTTTATGTTATGATCTTGTATCGACATATCGACCATGATCTCGAGTGGTGCATAATACTCTGACTTCATGATGATGTCATCAGGTATTGTTTTATTTGTTAGATTTTAAGCCTTCTGGTATATGAAGGTTTATATAAAGAGTTTCGGTAACAGTTCGGTAAACTTTTCATTTACAGGCATATGACTCTGGCTTTGTTTTTGTATGTGTGTATTTTGTGATTTTTACTCTTTTCGCCCCAATAGGGTGACTTTCCCATAGACTTGTGCACAAACCTAAACTGTCACCTAACCCAAGTTTACCTTATGTTTTTTCCACGAAATTTAGTATTTATACTAATTGGACCATGAGGAATCGATCTAGATGGTTAGCGACTGCAAAATTCCTTGTCCTAAGGGTCGTTTTCATAAAAGGGCGACAGTCATTTTGTCGCCTCAATAAGGTGTATCGCCCTATTGTGGACGGAGTTCGCAAAACCTGTCGCCCTATTACAGTAATAGTAGTAATATAATTTACAATTGATGCAAAAGGGCGACATATTTCTCAAGTGTCGTCTCGATTATGGCGACACACCCTATGGTGCGACAATTTGGTGTCGTCCTATTGTTAAACAGACCCTTAGGACAAGGAATGTTTTGTCGCAAACCATCCAGATCGATTCCTCGTCGTCCAATTAGCCTAAATACCGAATTTCGTGGAAAAGGATTAGGTAAACTTGGGTTAGGTGACAGTTTAGGTTTGTGCACAAGTCTATGGGAAAGTCGCCCTATTATAGCGTTGGTAAGAGTTATTATAATAATATACTTACAAGCGATTTTTTGTAAAACAAAAAGATGACTTTAACCTGTAGCTCTTGGCGATGAGATAGCTCATCAATTGATAAACATTTTTAGTCCCGTACGTCAGGTTGCTTGACCTTTACTACCGGGTCTACCGGAAGGTCAAATTTAGGTGAATTCAAAATATGGAAATGAGCCATATTTCCATAACCAAGATTTCCTTCGAACGGTTAACGTGGTGATAATAAAGATTTAGTGCGATTTGAAATCTCAATCATACCTGTCATTGTTGATACCATCAGAATCCAAGTTACTGCTCCGTCCATTCTCAGAGATTTAGTGAACGGTAATCCGTATGGACGGTTGATTGTATCACCCGTATACAAACCACACCAACATGCCTCTTCAGATACGTAGACCACCGTTACTGCCAACCAATCACGAACGAGCACGAGCGTCTTGCAAGCATCCAAGCGTATTTGATTGGCTAGGTGTATGCTTACCAAGTTGTGGTGTCAGTTGTTTATTACAGTGATAATTTATTAAAACGTTTACAATTTAAACGACAACCTTGGGCCAAGCGCGTACATAACCAACAATCAATACACCACGGCTAGCAATTACTTGTAGCCCAGATAATATGAAAGCGTTGATTATATATGGATAGTGAATCTTTGGAAATTGTCTGAAGCGCAACGAAATCTTTCAGAAAGGTAGATATTAAACACGAAACGAAAACACGAAACTAAATTAGGACTACAGGTTCTCGGCGTCTCTGAAATGACGAGCAGCAGACATAACGCTTTTGTATATTACATTATGAAAGCGTTGATTATATATGGATAGTGAATCTTTGGAAATTGTCTGAAGCGCAACGATATCTTTCAGAAAGGTAGATATTATACATGAAACGAAAACACGAAACTAAATGAGGACGACAGGTTCTCGGCGTCTCTGAAATGACGCGAAGCAGACATAACGCTTTTGTATATTACATTTTTGACAAAATGAAGAAAAAAACCCAAACTGAACAAACTGAACAAAACAACCAAAAAACGGGGCAAATCGATACAGAACGCCTAGGTACGAGAAATGGAGTTTCGTGCAGTGAATGTGAACCGAATATACAGGGAGGTTCAAAAGCCACTTTTGACAGCAATCTTCATCTATTTTTATATATTATTTTAAACTTGATTTTCTTGAAGAGGTACCGCTATCTTCAGACCAACCAAAATATTACGTGTTTCAGTAAGTGTACGACACACGTGGTAATTTCAACCATTCTAGAAAGTACTTTTTAACATAACGAGACTCGATCATATATTTGTCACCGTCCTACACGTTTTCACACCTTATATACCTTTACTAAGCGAGATGTCGCGCTTTGCGCAGCCCTGCTAGCTGGGCGGAGTCGTACAGT